CAAGGTGTTCCTTCACCAACCCAAAGATCCTAAAATTATACACCATCCCATTTACTCTGCCCTTGATTATCTTCAGCCTAAGATAGCTTAATTGTGCACGCCCACTTTTTAGACCCACGAACCGCCCCTGCTTGTGGGCCGTACTGGCTCATCTGCCCTAATTTTGTGACCCCATGATAAATAATGATCTAAGAATTTAAGCCAATGTGAAATGATTGATTAGCTGTTAATTTTTCCTTCCCTGAGTGATAGGGAGAAAAGGGATGTGGGGGGGGGGGGGGGGTCGATTCTGTTTATTCTTTGGGTTTAGTGGTCTTCTGGGTTTAAAAAAAAAAAAATTCTATGTATTGTCATTCCCACTGAGGATCATCAGCATACCTGGCAGCTATTGTTGGTTTCCCGACTGGCTCTTTGTGTGATTAAGTAACCGGTTGGGATTGCTTCACCATTTTGAAAACAACTCGATTTTAGGCCATTGATTTTAACATAGATAACATTGCACTTCTGCCAATATGATAGTTTTTTCTCATAGAGACATTAAGATCTATGCAAAGCAGTTAATTTTTTTCTAGCATTTAAAATTCAAATTTATTTTTTTCCTTTCTCAGGTGTCGTTTTTACTACTGTTGTCCTAGGAATGGGCTTGTCAACATTGCGAACAGGGAATGCCAAGAAAACACAACTGTTAATGCGTCTTCGAGTTGGTGGTCAAGCTTTTGCTGTGTTTGCTATGTTGGCTGGAGTGTACTACAATACCAAAGGATCAAATAACAATTCATAGGCCTTTTGAACATCTGTGAGTCTGAATTATTTTGCCTAAGTACGGTAGGCCTATAATCTTATCTTCATAGCAGGAAGGAAAGCCTAGGTGTATGGATGTCACTAGTCTCATTTGCTCACTACTGTAAAGAAAGATTACCCGTGACAGTTGACAATGTGTAGACCCGCCATAATTTTCTTCGGTGGGCTGCAAAGCCTGTCAGTGTGATGACACACCTTTGCTCTGTGGAAATGAAAAACTAACCCAGGAAGGAAGTGAAAAATGGAAACAGAGCTCATAAAATAATTCCTGTTGGTATCAATGTCATGTTTATGCATTATGTACCTCTTATCTAGTGTGATTAGAACGGTACTTTAGTATTTTTATTAGCAGATGATGGTAGAATGAATGACTGGTAAATTGTATATATAATCTCCCTGTCTGAGAAGTGCTAGATAGAATGAAAGTAAGTGTGGAAAAATGAAAATGCAGACCTGTTTGCTAAGTGTTTGCTTTCTGCTTTTTCGTACTTTCGTGTGTACGGAATTGTTAAAATTATTTTACAGCGAAATCTAAGCTGTCTGCCTTTGTAAAAATGTTTTATTAATGTCATGACGATGGGTTAAAATAAAATGTACAGATTTTTTTTCTGTATCGTACCTTTTCTCTGTATGTTTTTCGTGTTCCAGAAATGCTTTGGTTAAGAAATTAAAGATGACGTTTGAAACAAACTGGATTATTTTTTATATATGATACATCTAGGCTACATGCGTGCATGCATATTCTGTGGGGATTTTTTAACTTACTCTTTGAGCCCTCACTGGTGGCGCGTAAAACTGCCCATATGTCTAGCCACTGGTACTGCAGTGAGCGAGACCCTATCCCCAGCGCAACCCGCCTGGAACAAAACATGCGCTGGAAACCATGTAGCATGTTTACTACTCAGGACGTTACTAATTATTTTGAAGATCTTTCTGAATAATATGCTTGCTAGTAATGATGTGGACTACCGTGTGTGGAATGTGATTCTGACGATCACATGAATGTTAGTACAACATCATATTGCTCAGGTACTCAGGCAGCAAAGGGGCACAGTAGCCTCAGGAGGTCACGACTCAAAGAGTTAAAGACAATGAGGCTTTTTTAAAAGTCATTTTACTTTTACGTAGATGATGTATGCCACTGTCAACAGATTAAAGAGGTTATTCTAGTCTTCTCCAGGGAATCTTTATTAATTAATTCTGTCAAGATAATTCAAGATTTGGCTAAGTTGTATAAACAGTGTACTCCAGTTACCATGTTCTTGGTTAGCCTGGCACCCTATTTTATTATTTTTTTTCCTCCCTTTTTTGGGGGGCGGGGGGCGGGGTGCTTTTTCTCTCTAGTAAACACCTCTATTCTACAGCACCTAAATGCCTTATTTTTGCCCCAAGTGCTATAAAACTTAAACTGAAGAACACTTTTGAGTTCATAAGCATCCTTTCATCATCACAGAATATGTCTTTCAATCATTGGGAACATTTCAATATTTACATTGAGACCACATCACGAACTGCTATTTTGGTGGTCAATTAAATTGTGAGCCGACCTTAGCAACTATCACACTTTGACATAGTAGTTCTGCCCTCATAGTTCTTCCTTTCTCTTTACTTTTCATCCTCTGTTGCCGTTATTGAGAGTCGAGGGGAGATGCATGATACAACATATAAATTCTATATATATATAAATATATGCTAACTCTGCCAACAACCCTAACCAAACCACTTAAATTTGCACACACACACACACACACACACACACACACACACACACGCTCGCGCCAGGCACACACACACACACACACACACACGCTCGCGCCAGGCACACACACACACACACACACACACACACACACACACACACACACACACACACACACCTGTACAACAACACTTAATATGATTGTTCCTACGAAAGTGGATAATATTCTATACTGCACTGAAAAAACGGGGGGGGGGGGGGTAGCTCTATGTTTTCTGAGTGCAAAGTAAGTAAAGAGTTTTTTTTCTTTTACTTTTAAATCTCAGAATCCTATTTCAACAGTAGCTGTGACTGTGAGTCTGTGAGCAATTTGGATGTTACATGTAGTAATTAATTTGATGTTACTGGTGGCTTTATTGTTGCCACTGCTGTTGATACCGTGCAGAGCGCATTATCTGTGACCATCAGTCAGTGTTCAAAGTATAGGCTTTATGGTACATCATGTAAGAGTTTTCTTTGGTTTCCATTCCGCATCCAGAAATTGATTTTTTATACGGAGGTCCTACTCTTTATTTAGACACGTCATCATGTAGGCTACATAATATCATATACGTGTGTTACTACTAGAATCTAGTGCTGTTGAAACTATAAATGTTGAGGCGTGGCGTGGGTGTGGAAGATGTGACACATTCGTACGCATCCTCTTGGGGGAAAGAAAGAAGGAGGGGGAGAGTGTGCTGATATAGGTGTAGTGTGAATGTGAAGGGAGGGGCTGAAAAAAAAACAACAACAAAGTTTTAAAATGTAGGACGACTGGGACTCTCCTCCTGCACAGGTGCACTTTCAAGAGCATGGACATGGACATTCACGAGGCTTTGTTGCTCTTGAGTGACAGTCTTTCGTTATCAAGGAAGGTGCCTTACTACTAGAACAATGTAGCCCACTAATGTACGTGATGTATACTACTACAGTGTTTAGTTTCAATTCTCTGTAAGCAAGAGATAGGCCTACCTTTCCAGCAACAGAAAAACGGAGCGCTGTCGTCAATCAGCCACCTAAACTTTGCTCCCACTAAAGTCCCACGCAACGACAAAAAAAAATACCCTCTTTCAAGCGCGGACCCAGTCTGTTTCAAACGAACTTATAGAGGCCTACTCATGTTCTAAGTGAGTAAGTCGAAGCGAAAAGGGGCATTTGACTTCAGCATCTTTCAATGGTGAAAGTCACTTTGGAAACAAGATCAGGAGCCCCAATGTAGCAAAACGGAATCCTTTTCAACAGTGGTTGATAGATCTATGCCTTCTATCTATATGATCTATGACTTGAGTATACTTTTGGAAGTATTAGTATTAGTAGAGTCTAGGTATTGGGAAGGGGGGTGGGGGTTCTTCCTGGATTAATGCAGAGATCTTGCAATGTAAACAAATTGCTAGGTCTCTGATTAATGTGTAGGCCTACACTGATAGAATTGGGAAAACATAGAACATGTGACAGTATAAGTTGTTTGAAACTTGTTAAGCTCACGTGCCAACAGAAGAAACGGGGCTGGTAAGTAGCCTACAGTCGAACCTGCCTTAACGGAAACCTCCATTAACGGAATCTCCCCGCTCCCCCCTTGATATTTCCTCTTTAATTACCTGTATAAAACGGAAACCTGTCCAACGCGGGAACGGAAAGAAAAATCCGCTCCCTTCCGAGGGTTTCACCTGTCTAAGACGGAAAATGCTTTGGCAGTTCAGCCCTGATTTGAAACAAATCTTGCAAGTTTGGTTCCGCCGGCTCTAAACTTAACGCTATGACCATGCCGCGGGCGAGGAAGGGGAGTATGGGTGCAATTTGGGGATGGATGTTACCCCTCATGTGAGCCCTGAGCGATGCAGATGGTCAGCAGTGTAGTGTGGATGGGAAATCTCACTACTGCCCATGAGAGTGCTGGAGTAGCGAGCCACTACGCAAACTTTCCTGGGTAGCCAGAAGCCAGAGGTGTGAAATTAGTTTGACCAATGCCTGCCACCCTGATCGTACGACCAGCCGAGAAAAGAGTTCCTCGAATCGTTGTTAACAATTACATGATGGCAGTGAGGGATGGCATTGGTTGACTGTGCTTGTTACACCAGTGGGTGGGGCTAAGGGTGGAAGTAATGGAGATGTTCAAATGTTTCTGTTTTTAATAGGTCAAACAGTGGTCCTGTGAAAAGCAAGCACTGGTGGTAATTGGATAAGTAAGACTGACGCATGTCATTATCAGACAGGATAGCAATTGAGAGGTGTGAAGTTTTGACCACTGCTTGCCGATAGGACAAGCGATCTTTGAAATTTTACTTTGATCCCACCGGCTGGGCCTTTGAACCCCCC